CAGCAGCATCATCATCATCAGCAGCAGGATCATCAGCTGCAGCCGCAGCATCATCATCATCATCATCATCATCATCATCATCATCATCATCATCATCATCAGCTTCATCATCATCAGCAGCAGCAGCATCATTATCAACATCATCATAATCATCATCAACATCAGTATCATCATACTCAGATCATCAGCATCATCATCAGCATCATCAGCATCATCATCATCCTCATCCTCATCATCAGCATCAGCATCATCATCATCATAATCATCACCGTCATCAGCATCATCATCAGCATCATCAGAATCGTCAGCAGCATCAGCAAAATCATCAGCAGCAGCATCATCAGCAGCAGCATCAGCATCAGCATCACCATCATCAGCAGTAGCATAATCAACACAATCAGCATCATTCTGACCATCATCATCATCATCACCATCATCATCAGCAGCAGCATCATCGTCATCATCAGCAGCCGCATCATCAGCAGCAGCCGCAGCATCATCATCATCATCATCATCAGCAGCAGCAGCAGCAGCAACAGTAGCAGCAGCATCAGCATCAGCATCAGCATCAGCATCAGCATCAGCATCAGCATCAGCATCATCATCATCATCATCATCATCATCAGCATCATCATCATCATCATCAGCAGCAGCAGCAGCAGCTTTCTCCCCGCTGCAAAACCCTCTGTAGGAGAGCATGGGGACGAGGAGGAGGACGAGGAGGAGGAGGACAAGGAGCAAAAGACCGAGCCGGAACACTCCTCGGCGGCGGCACGCAGGGAGGCCTCGTCGGCCCTCCCGCGCAAGGCCTGCGGGGGCTGGAAAATTCCTCTGCTGGCTGCGGCCCCTGCTGGCTGCGGACCCTGCACTGGCTTCCCCCCCCCCCCCGGGGGGGAAAGGAGGAGGAGGAGGAGGAGGAGGAGGCGGAGAAGGAGGAGAAGGAGGAGGAGGAGGACAGAGGAGGAGGAGGAGGGCGGAGAAGGAGGAGTAGGAGGAGAGGGAGAGGAGAGGAGGAGGAGGAGGAGGAGGAGGAGGAGGAGGAGGAGGGGAGGAGGGGAGGAGAGGAGGAGGGAGGAGGAGGAGGAGGAGGAGGAGGAGGAGGAGAAGGAGAAGAAGGAGGAGGAGGCGAGAGAGTACAAGGAGGAGGAGGAGAGGGACTAGAAGGAGGAGGAGGAGGAGGAGGAGGAGGACCAGTGCAAACACAAGAGTCATCAACGATGTTGGAATGAACCCTCCAATCTCCCTCTTCATAGGCACCTATACCCGTTCATCTCCATTGAGGGAACTGCCTCTTCGGAAGACAACCGTTTGAAGACCCTAACGCATGCCAAAACATTGTTCTCGGGATGCGAACGCCACGGATCAACCTGACTGTTGCGTCTTGACGTACTGAATCGTGCCAGAACGCCAGTTCTGGGACTCCAACACAGCGAACCAACATAACTGCTGCACCCGCATAATCCTGAATCCTTTCAAAACACCATTTCTGGCGCGTTGGTGATGGGAATCCGTGAAACTCTTGCAAATGTCATAGACGAATGTGCGCGGCGCTAAGGCGAGAGTCACAGTTTGAAAACCACCCGCCCTGAATCCGTGAAACCCCTGCAAATGTTTAGACGAATGTTCGCGGCGCTTGGGCGAGAGCCACATTTGAAAACCACTCGCCCTCAATCCATGACACTCTTGCAATTTTTTTAGCGAATGTGCGCCGCGCTAGGACGAGAGCCACACTTGAAAAATCACCCGCCCTCGATCCGAGAAGCTCGTGGAAAAGTGTAAAACGAATTTGCGCCGCGCTAAGGCGAAAGCTACAGTTTCAAAAAGGCCCGCCCTCAATCAGTCAAACTCGTGCAATGTTACAAACGAATGAGCGCCGCGCAAACTCGAAAGCTACATTTTAAAAACGGCCCGCCCTCCAACTGTGAAACTGTTGCCAAGTTTGAGGCTTCAGAGTCATAAGTGGTGAGGAAGTCTCAGGCGAAACGCCTGGCCCGCTCTAAAAACTGGCCCCGGGGTGCGACATGGAGAAGTCATTTGTCAGGAGAAGGAATGGAAGAGAAGGAGTAAAAAGAGGAGGAGGAGGAATGAGAGGAGGACAGAGAGGAGGAGGTGGAGGAGGAGGAACAGGAACAGGGGCAGGAGGAGGAGGAGGAGAGGAAGGAGGGGGAGGGGGAGGGGGAGGGAAAGGAGGAGGAGGAGGAAAACGGGCGTACGAGGCTCTCGCAGAAACTCGAAAACCGACGCTGCAGAACTAGCGCGCACTTTGCAGTGTCAGTGCAACAGGCATGAGCGTAAACGATCTTGACAGGACAGCCAGAAAGCAGCACGCATGGCTGGTGCCACCAGCTGCCATGGTGACCATGCGAGCGCGAAGACGCTCTCGGACTCGGAATGTGAGCTGCTCTGTCCTTTTTTTCCACGGCGCGAAGTTCTTAGGCGTGCTACTGAGGAGGAGGAGGAGGAGGAGGAGGAGGAGGAGGAGGAGGAGGAGGAGGAGAGGGAGGGGGATGGGGGGAGAGGGGAGAGAGGAGAAGAGGGGAAGGAGGAGGAGGAGGCGGAGGAGGAGGAGGAGGAGGAGGAAGTGGAGCGGGAGTAGGAGTAGGAGGGGTGGGTGAGGGAGGGAGGGAGGGCAGGAGAGGGATGGGGTTGGGGATGGGGATCGAGCATGAGCGATTAGGGGGGGGAGGAGCGAAGGGCGAGGAGGAGCACCCCGTGCTCCGCACCTCCACCGTGCTCCTCGTTTTCCCCTCCCCGTTCCCCGTGCTCCACCTCTTCGAAGCTGGGCGAGGGCTGGCAAATCCGCGGCTGCTAAAACGGTCTTCCCGGGAGGAAAAGAACAAACTCCCCGAATAAAACTCCGCGCGCCGAACCATAAACGGGCCGCCTCCCAGGGAAGCCAAAGAACATCCCGGAGCTCCGTTTTGGCAGCCACGGGCTTGCAAGCCCTCGCCTGGCTTCTGAGCCTCGAGGAGGAGCAAGATCAGCACATAGGGGACCGCGTGCGAACCCTACCCCTACCCCCCACGATTTCTGAGGGGGAGGGTGGGGTTCATTTCGCTCGGAAGCTCCCGAACGAAGTAAACCCCACCGTCCCCCTCAGAAACCGTGGGGGGCAGGGGTAGGGTTCGCATGTGGCCCCCTGGCAAGTTCAGCACAGGAACAAACACTGTCCGAGGCCCGCTCGGACTTCCTGGGATCGGTGCTGGACCACGCCGCCTCCCGCCGCGCGCGCGGCGCGCGGAGCGCGCCGGGGGCCAACGTAGGGCGCCCAGCGCCGAGCCGAGGAATCGGCGGGGGGCCTCCGAAAGGTTACGACCATGCCGATGCTTGTCTTGTTCGATCCTCCGCTGCAGCTTTGGTGCTCGCGCTGTCGATGCCCTGCTCTCCCAGGGCTCTGCAGCGTCGTCCGCACCCTGCGTCTGCGTGTCCGAGCTCCGCAGCTGCCTGCACGCCCTCCCGTGTTCGGCTGCGTCCCTGCTTTTGTGGACACCGCGAAGGCCTGACGAAAGCTTGAGAGGTCCCTTCCAATATGTGTGCTCCGATGGAGGCCTCCCAGATACCAGATGGGGTTGGGGATCGCGCCGCATCGTCGATACGTCACCGATGCATCGGCGATGCCACATCTGCTCGGACTCCATTTGAAGGCCTGGACGAAACAGCAAACACGGGATGCCCCCAAAAAATGTATACCGCTGCTCCCAAGACATTTCGGTGGGTGAGAACCGACCAGGATCTCGAGGCGAATCCAGCCGCAACGACGGGTGACCAAGGAGACCAGGATCAAAACAGGTCCGCCTAGGTGCCAACGGCAGCAAGTCCTCCTCCTCCTTCTCCTCCTCCTCCTCATCATCCTCCTCCTCCTCTGCCTCCTCCTCCGCCTCCGCCTCCTCCTCCTCCGCCTCCTCCTCCGCCTCCTCCTCCTCCGCCTCCTCCTCCTCCGCCTCCTCCTCCTCCTCGACAACTCGTTTTGAGAATATGACCTTTTACTCCGAGCACTGGATCATGACACTTCCAGCCGTCTCGGTCTCACGACTGTGACTGCAATAGTTCTCTCTTCTACCCAGAGGAGAGGAGGTGGGGAGCGCGCGACCGCTGAACCTCACTGCGGCGTGACTGGCCCAGCAACGTGAAGCAGCAGATCGCCGGGCAAACTGGGATCACTGCACGAGCCGACCTGCAGGAGGCAAGCTCATGCGACAAACTGTGACATGCCATCACCACCACCACAGGAGGAGGAGGAGGAGGAGGAGGAGGAGGAGGAGGAGGAGGAGGAGGAGGGGGGCCCCCTCCCCCTCCAACTTCTGGTGGCGGTGGTGAAGATCAGGCCCCTCAAATAGTTCTGTCGGCCCACTTCCTGGAGCCGACTTCCTGCTGGCACTGAGAAGGATGACCCTTCAACACTTTTTATGTTTTGTTTTTCTTATATAAATGTTTAAAAAATTATGCGAACGGAGTTCCCCACATAAAGAGATTAACGGTTTCGTGGGACCCATTTTCTTGATGCCCTCCTCGCGACGCTGGAGGGGTGGGAGGGGCACGAAACCATGTAAATAGTATGGTATTCCGATACCCTCCTCGCTCAGGCGGGGCCTCCCTGGAGGGGTGGGAGGGGCACGAAACCATGTAAATAGTATGGTATTTCGATACCCTCCTCGCTCAGGCGGGGCCTCCCTTGAGGGGTGGGAGGGGCACGAAACCATGTAAATAGTATGGTATTCCGATACCCTCCTCGCTCAGGCGGGGCCTCCCTGGAGGGGTGGGAGGGGCACGAAACCATGTAAATAGTATGGTATTCCGATACCCTCCTCGCTCAGGCGGGGCCTCCCTGGAGGGTGGGAGGGGCACGAAACCATGTAAATAGTATGGTATTCCGATACCCTCCTCGCTCAGGCGGGGCCTCCCTGGAGGGGTGGGAGGGGCACGAAACCATGTTAATAGAATGGTATTCCGATACCCTCCTCGCTCAGGCGGGGCCTCCCTGGAGGGGTGGGAGGGGCACGAAACAATGTAAATAGTATAGTATTCCGATACCCTCCTCGCTCAGGCGGGGCCTCCCTGGAGGGGTGGGAGGGGCACGAAACCATGTAAATAGTATGGTATTCCCATACCCTCCATCGCTCAGGCTGGGCCCGTCCTGGAAGGTTTGGGAGGGCACGAAAACGCATGTAAATAGTATTGTATTCCGATACCCTCACTCGCATCAGGCGGGCCTCCCTGGAGGTTGTGAGGGGCACGAACCATGTCAAATGTATGGATTTTTCCGTACCCTCCTCGCTCAGCGGCCTCCCTGGAGGGTTGGGAGGGGCAAATGGAGAAAAAAAACCATGTAAATAGTATGGTTTCTTATCCGATACCCTCTCGCTCAGGCGGTCCTGCCCTGGAGTGGTTGGAGGGGCACGACATGTAAAGAGTATGTAGTCCCGATACCCTCCTCGCTCAGGCGGGGCCTCCCTGGAGGGGTGGGAGGGGCACGAAACCATGTAAATAGTATGGTATTCCGATACCCTCCTCGCTCAGGCGGGGCCTCCCTGGAGGGGTGGGAGGGGCACGAAACCATGTAAATAGTATGGTATTCCGATACCCTCCTCGCTCAGGGGGGGCCTCCCTGGAGGGGTGGGAGGGGCACGAAACCATGTAAATAGTATGGTATTCCGATACCCTCCTCGCCCAGGCGGGGCTCGCCATGGGTATGGTATGGTACGAGTATGGAAACGTATGGTGTGGTATGCGTATGGTATGGTATGGGATGGATATTGTGGTAGGAATACTATGGTTAATGGTATGGTGTGTGTGGTAGGAATACTATTGTGCTGTATGGAAGATGGAGCGGGAGGTGGGTGGGAAGGAGAGGGTGTTCTGGGAAAACAAGAACCCCACTCAGGATGACCCTTCGACACTGCCGGAGGCGAGGGCGGCAATGAGGCCGCGCCGGCCTCGTCGCGCTCCTCCGCCGCCCGCCGCAGCTGCTCCAGCAGCTCCGGCTGGGCCGGCGCCTCCCCGCGGTGCTGGCACGGGGGGGAAGCACCCTCCTCCTCCTCCTCCTCCTCCTCCTCCTCCTCCTCCTCCTCCTCCTCCTCCGGCCTGGAATGGGCGATACGTCGCCGTCGGCAATGCATCGCCCATTCCAGTAGAACGTGGTTTCGTAAAACGTGGCTTCGTGAGAACGGCCCGAGGCCCAAACCTGGCGGGCGCCAGGCCTGGAAAATAGCGGCCACGGCGCCCTCTCGAGGACCGAAAACGGGCAATTCACTCATCGACGTGTCACTGTTGGGGGTTCTGTCCACCACCGAGCCGACAGATCGGCGATAGGCCCCCGGTGGCAAGTCCGCACGCTCCTCGGCTGTCAGACCCCTATTGGTGATCCATGGGAGATTCGGGGTCGATGCATGTGCTTATCCTGAAGTCGGGCCTGTCCCCCTACAGGGTGAGTTTGGGCACAAAAAAATTAAAAATATTCCACAGAAATACCCCTCAAATGGGCAAAAATAGTCAAAGCATCGTCCCCAGACTATTTTTCGAGTATGTTTGGATGTTCCGCCTGTAGAGGGCCAGGCCCGACGCAAGCTTGTCCCCCCTCATCGTTGCCCCTGAGAAACGCAGGACTCAGGACGCAAGAGTCCGTCGGCCGGCCAGCAGGCCCCTTCCCAGGCAGACTCGCGCCGTGAACTCAAGCTGCCACGACGGCTGGGCGTTGGCCGTTTGTTTCGGTCTCCGCGGGCCCTCGCCGAGCCCCGGGGCCAACAGGAAACGACTCGATTCAAGTCGGGCCCGTCCCTCCACAGGGGCAACATCTAGAACTAGTAAGAAAATACTCCGGGGATGATTTTTGGGTGTTTTCGACCATTTGGGAATATTTGTGGGGCACGTCTTCATTTTTCGTCGAAAATCCCCCTGTAGGGGGGCAGGCCCGACCTAAGACTCGACATGGAAACCTGGCCCTGGGAAAGGGTCGGGACTTCCGGGGACCCCGTGCTGGAAAAAATTCAAGACATTGGATTTCGATGTCAGGAGCGGCGCGGGTTGGCCACCCATGCCTCGGCGTTCCTCAAGAAGTCCGCGTCCAATGAGTCGCAGCGATAGCGATAAGGATGGCAGGAATGATGGGGGCGGCGGCAATGAGGGCGGCAGTGATTGCGACGATGGCGGCGATGGCGGTGGGCGGCGGAAACAGTGGAAGGCGGATGTCGGCGTCAACGACGGCGGGATGATATCTTCGAGACACCATCCCGCCATCGTTGAGTTGGCCTGACGGACCCTGACGGACGGGGTCGCAGGTTCCTGGGCAGGATGAGAGGGCTTCCCCGCCTCCCATCGAGAAATGTAAAAAGATCCCGGGGGCACTGTCTGCTCTGTCGCTTGGGATATTTGCCGATATCACAGATTTCATGCGCGGTTGACGGAGGTTTCCTCAGGGATTCCTGAGATGTCCGCGGTGTCCGCTCAATTCCCGCAACTTGTCCTCGTGAGCCCAACGTCGGAATCTAGGAGCTCGCTTGACACCTCCTCGCCAATCCGCAAAGATTTGCCCCAAGTTCCGCCGTCATCCCGCTTTCCGCGGTTGCCGCGCGCTTCGAGCCATGGTGGCATCGGCTGTCAACCCCTCGATGCGATTGATTGGTCAGCGGAGGGCCAACAGACATCCAAAGCAGGAATTTGCCCCAGGTCCACAAGGGCAGCGCGGGCTGTCAAAACGCGCGTGGTCCTGAAGTCCTTTCTCCAGTGATCCCACACGGATGGGCCACTAGAAACATCATGGAAGTACACAGCGCTTGGTAAAGAAAGAAGGCGTGCTAAGATCTCCAGTAACTAGTTTAGAAGATTTCTACTTCGCGCGCGCGGGGCCGCCCCTGGGGGTCCCCGAATCAAAAGTACCCTGGCTGATCCCCGGCGAACCTTTACTCGGAGATAGTTTCCCTCCTGGGTGCAGCCTCTCAGGCCCCCCAGAGCGCGCAAAGAGAGCCCCAAGGGCTCCGAGTCACCGAACAACCAGTCCAAGACCCCAAGATGGCCTCCAGACGGCCCAAGAAGCCTGCAAGACGCCCCAAGCATCCTCCAAGAGACCTCCCCAGTGCCCCCCAGAGGCGAAAATTAGTGATTTCACATACGTTTTTGAAGGATGTTGGCGTTCTCGTCTTTTCGACTTACCGGCGCTCCAAGACGGCCCAAGAGGCCACCAAGATCACCCGGCCTCCAAGAGCGGCTCCAAAACGGCCCGAGACCGCCCCAAGACAGCCCCAGAGGCCTCCAAGATGGCCCACGAGGCCCCCAAAACGGCTCCAAAAGCAGGCCTGGACGGGGAACCCGAACGGACATTTCGAGCTGTCAGCCCCGAGAGATCCCACAGAGGCCCCAAGAAGCCCCAAAATTCCCCCGAGAGGCCCCAAGAGACCCCCAGGAGGCCCTCAAGAGGCCCCCAAAAGGCCCCCAAGAAGCCCCAGGAGGTTCCGGAATATTGCCAAGAGGCCCCCGAAAGGCCTCCCGAGAGACCTCAAGATGACTTCCCGAAGAAGCATTTTGTCCACGACCAAATTTGGCCTCAAAATGCGAGTGAATTGTCACATCGTCGAATACGGATACGGAAAAGCCCAAGCCGACAGAGGTGCGCAATGTGGGCCGGTAGAATGTCCGAAGCGGTTAGATAAGGAACGCTGAGATAGGAAACGAAACACCCGTTTGGCGCCAACAGCGCCTGGGTGCACGAGGAGGGCTACGTTAGGGAGCCCAGAAAGGACGTACGCGCCCAGCTATGTACATGAACACGGCCCTTCGGTCCGCGAGACGGGCCGCGTTACACGAACATTTGCGCAGTGCGTGCCCTCGAAACCAGCGTGGATTCATGTACATGTACGTCCTTCTGTCGGTCCTGATACGCAGCGGAACAGCCACGGAATGACCCAAGGAACAGCGAGCCCCCTCCGAACACAGAGCAGTTCTTATTGCAGCGTCGCGGCCGGCTGTAGGCGTGGGGGGGGGGGGGGCACCCTCGGCGACACACCAGGCCGCCCAGACAGGAAGAGACGCGTGAGGGAAGCAGGAGGAGGATGGAGGGAGGGAGGGAGGCGGGAGAAGGAGGAAGGAGGAGCATAATGAGGGGAAGGAGGGAGGGAGTAGTGATGCGTAGGGTAGGATGAGAGGGAGGAGGGAGGAGGAGGAAGCAGGAGGAGGAGGAGGAGGATGAGGAGAAGTAGGGGAGGCGGCGGAGGAGGAGAGACATAGGAGGAGGAGGAGGAGGAGGGGAGGAGGAGGAGGGGGGAGAGGAGTAGGATGAGGATGAGGAGGAGGAGGAGGAGGAGGAGGAGGAGGAGGAGGGGCGGGCACACGCTGCCGCGCCAAACCTGCCCCCCCCCCCGCGTCGCGGTGCACCGACGCGGCGGATCTGCCCCCCGTTCCGCCGCGCGGACAGGCTGACATTGACCCCCGTCTGGGAGGGCACCCACGCTTACTACATGGTGGCACCTCCAATGACAGATTTCCCCGCATGCGGCAACCGCACGCCAAGCTCATCAAAGCTCACGCTGCAAGGCGGTCGGGGCAAGCCCCGAGCAGTTCAAACATCACCGAGCTGGTGGCTACGCATCCACCGAGTTCTCAATGCCAGCGAGGAGGCCCAGGCAGCAGGAGGACAAGGGAAAGACAAGCAGAGAGGACAGAAAAGAGGGCGGGGAAGGCCGAGGTGGCCAGGAAGGTGGCACCCCCTGTGGTTATTGCATGAGGAGGAGGAGGAGGAGGAAGAAGAGGAGGGATAGGAGGAGGAGGGGTAGGAGGAGGAAGGGGAGGAGGGGGAGGGGGAGGAGGTCGGTTACAGAAACTGTGCGACGTCGTCAATCCACCGTGCGCGCTGTGCGCCAAGGTGTCGGTCTGCTTCCTGGGGGGCGCGAGCGACGTGCTCGAGCCGCAGCCAGCCGCGCCACGCCAGGGCGCGGTCGCGCTGCAACTGTCCCTGCCCGTCGCCACTTGCCGCTCTGACGCAGAGCGGCCCGGTGCGCGCCAAGCGAAAGACCCCCACCAGGCAGCTGCGAAAGAGACGCCCGCCCGCCCCACGGACGGAGCAGCTCTTGCGCACGTGGCGCCGCGTGATAGTGCTCGCTGACGGCCCTACCGCGTCGAATGCACCGGCAGCCCCGCGAACGAAAGAGACCATGTGTAGAGGAAAGAGAATTGTGCACATACACCGATTCTGGCCAGGCCCATCCTGAGCCCAGGATCGGTGCATACGCCCTCCTACCTTGGCCAGGAAGGCAAATGCACCGACCCTGGGTCAAGGACGGGCCTTGTCAGGATCGGTGCATGTGCATAGTTCTCTTCGCCCAACGCGCGGGGGAGCGCCAACGCTGGCGGGGCAGCAGCGGCCCGCAGCGGCTGCAAGCGGCAGCGGCCAGAGCGGGAACGGCGGGGATGGGCCTGTTTTCCACCTCCACCACCGTAAGTTGGAGGGGGAAAGGAGGAGGAGGAGGACGACGAGGAGGAGGACGACGAGGAGGAGGAGGAGGAGGAAGAGGAGGAGGAGGAGAAGGTGGAGGAGGATGAGGAGGAGGAGGAGGAGGACCGCCTCCCCCTCCAACATATGGCGGTGGTGGTGGAAAACAGGCCCATCAGGCGGGGAGCGAGCGGCGCAGCAGACCGCGAGCGCGGTGCTCGCGAGGGCCGCAGGGAGGGTCCGCGTGGGCGCCACGGCCGCGACGCGTGGGCGAGGGCCCGGCACGCAGGGGAGAGCCTGCCTCGAGCTCGCGGCGAGGGGCAGCGGGGGCCACTCTGCTCGATGCACAAAAGCGCTGGCGACGTGAGCACGATGACCAAGACCAGGCAGGAAGCAGGAAGAGGTAGGCAAAAACAGGTAAAAGCATGAAGTAGGAAGGCGGGTGAAGTTGATGGGGTCCAGGCCCCCCCAGAGAGTAACAGAGCACAGCAAGAGCGTGTCGATTCCTGAAGAAGGAAGGCGCTTGAAGTAGACTGGGATCTGGGACCCCAAGAATACCTACTTTCAACGACCGGCGTGTACTCGATGAACAGACACGGTGGCGATGCGAGCACAAGTCCGAAACGGGCCGCGGAGTGTGACCTAGGGCCGCCACACAGTCGGGGCGCTGACCTAGAAGAGCGAAGAGCGCGCGCAGTCCGCCGGACGGCCGGCGGGCCCCCTAGGAGCAGCGCGGGTGGGCCGGAGCCCGGTTATTGCATGTGGTGGAGGAAGGCGTCTTCCCAGCTGTCCCATAATTTCTGGTCACAAGCATAATATAACCAATGTTTGGTGATACTCCCAGTGGTAATTTGTATAAACTGTGATATGTCGTCGCACCACCGCTTGCGTTGTCGTCCATGTCTGCGCTGTGCTATTCGATTGTCGTGGACTTCCGGCTCCCATGCTGCCGCAAGCCTTGTCCATTGCGATTCTGTTGGCGAGCTCGGTGGGGTGGTAGTCGTGGAATGTAAGCTTCCGGCCGAGGTACTTCGTGCTCTGTTCGTCGCTGAGGATTTCGACTCTGTCGCCGTCGATATCAACATGAGTAATCGTTCGCCCCTGTCGCCGGCTTATGTTCGTGAGGATGTTCGTCTTGTCTGGGTGTATCTCGAGCCCACATTTTGACGCTGTTTGTTTGAGATCACGAAGAGTACATTTCAGTTGTCTCAGGTTGGGTGCGAGTAGTAGGACGTCGTCTGCAAAGCGCAAGTTGGTAAGAAGCGTCGGTTTGGTATGTCCCAATTTAATGCCAAAGCCCTTTCGTGTCCAGACTGGCTTGAGTTTCCGGAACACGTGCTCGAGCAACGCGTTGAACAAGTAAGAACTTAGAGGGTCGCCTTGTTTGACGCCCCGTTCAATACTGAATCCTCTGCTGTTGACGTCGGTCCGCACTGTCGCAGTCTGTCTATTGTATAATTTCTGGAGCATGGTGATGTAGGGTGCAGGCACACCTTGATCGCGGAGAGCTTCCCAGAGGCAGTGGTGATATACGCAATCGAATGCCTTCTTGAAGTCTATCGCTGCCGTCCATAGATTCATTTGCCATTCGTTGGATTGTTCGAATAGCATCGTTGTGGTGAATAAGTGATCCTCCGTGCAGAAACCTTTTCGGAAGCCAGCTTGGTCAGGTGATTGTTGTGAGTCGAAGTGCGCCTTCGGGCCATTAGCTTGTACAGCAACGGTATGATGGCAATTGGTCTGTAATTATTGGGTAGTTGTGGATCCCCAGACTTGTGTATGACGCTGATTGTAGTCCGTCTCCATCGCTCTGGCGGTGTCTGCTCCGGCGCCAAGATGCCGTTAAAGAGCTTCAACAAGTGCTGTTCGATGATGCGCCCTCCTGCTTTCAGAAGCTCTGCGGTAAGACCTGCCGTATCTTTACACCTGCCGTTTCTCAGTTGCTTCACTGCCTGGTGTAGTTCGTCGTCGGTGAAAGGTGGGATACTCTGTAACATGTGAGTCGTCGTGTTGTTATTGGTGTGGGAGGTTGCACTCTTCTGCGCTGGCGGATGAGCTTCGAGGGGGCACCGGTACAACTTCTCGTAGAAATCGGCGAAGACGTCAGCAATCCCATGACGGTCTGTCTGGTGGACACCGTCTGCCGTCGTCATGGCTGGTATGAGGTCCTTCTTCTTGCTGGATTTGATACCGGATATGTTGTTGAGGCCCCTGAACTTAGTTATGATCTCGTTCAGCGCCACCTGCCGCTGAGCTCTTTTAATCGCCCGGTGCTGACGTAGAATACGTTTGCTGAGAGTTGTCCTCGTGGCTGTGTCGCTGTGCGGCGTGTTCCAGCGTTGTGTGATGAGTGCTTGTAGGTATCGTCGGGCTTCGTCGTCGACACAGGCAGTACCTTGTTGCTGTTGCGGTTCATGCATGTGTTGATCCTCCCTCTGCTGTTGATGATCTTTGTAGGCTGCTCTAAGGAGCACCAAATCAGGAGCGAGGCCCCTTTTCCCCATGAGCAAAACTTCGATCTCCCATGGAGAGCCTCAGGAAACTGCTGACCAATGAAGGATCACCGAGCCCCTCCCCAACGAAAAAGGTTCCTTCTTCAGCACCCCGACTGTACTGTACCCCAGGGTGCATTCTGGCGGGGATCTCGCAGCGAATCCAGCCGCAGCGCTTCCCCCCCCCACCCCTTTGGGGCCATGATAGCGATCGTACGCTGAGGGAGTGCCTCGACCTCCCTCCCGGACATGCTGCTGCTCGCTGCTGTGGCGATCGCAAGGCACCCAGCGCTACTGTGGAGAAGAGGGCGGAAGAGGCGAGAGGGAGACAAAGCACACGCCCGCTTGCGGTCCATCTCGCATATCGTGCCGGGGAGAGACGACAGGCAGCCCCGCCGCAGGACCGTCATCGCCCCTGCCTCCCGAGTGAGACCTGCGGTCGGAAAGGATGCGTCGCTGTGCCCCAACCCGCCGAGGGTCACCGTGACCCGGGGGCTCAAATCCCCACGCTGGTGTAGCACTGCGCACAGGGGCTGGCGCAGGCGGGCGGCGCAGCCTGGTCCGCGGGAGGGTCCATCCTGCCTCGCGCCTCGAGCAACATGGCCTTGGCCGGGAGCGGCCGAGCCCCACCATGCTCCAGCATCTTCCCCTTCCCCTTCCTCCCCCTCCTCCTCCTCCTCCTCCTCCTCCTCTCTCCCTCCTCCTCCTCCTCCCGCCTCCTCCTCCTCCTTCCTCCTCCGTCTCTCTCTCCCTCCCTCCCTTCCTCCTCCTCCTCTCCCTCCTCCTCCTCCTCACTCCCTCCTCCTACCTCCTCCTCATCATCATCATCATCATCATCATCATCATCCATCACATCAATCATCTCATCATCATCTCATCATCATAATCAGCCTCATATCACCTCATCAGCAACAGCATCAGCATCAGCACAATCTAAATCAGCAGCAATCATCAGAATCATCATCTCATCATTTCATCATCATCATCAGCAGCAATCAGCAGCAGCATCAGCATCAGCGGTCAGCAGCATCATCATCATCATCCATCATCATCATCATCATCATATCATCATCTTCATCATCATCATCAGCAGCATCAGCACCAGCATCATCATCATCAGCAGCATCAGCATCAGCATCATCATCATCATCATCAGCATCGTAATCATCATCAGCAGCATCATCAGCATCAGCAGCATCATCATAATCATCATCATCACCATCATCAGCATCCTCATCATCGTCAGCATCAGCATCAGCATCATCATCATCAGCATCATCAGCAGCATCATCATCATCAGAGTCATCATCATCATCCTCATCATCATCATCATCATCATCAACAGCATCAGCATCAGCATCAGCATCATCATCATCAGCAGCATCAGCATCATCATCATCAGCATCATCATCATCATCAGCAGCAGCATCATCAGCATCAGCAGCATCATCAGAATCATCATCATCAACATCATCATCATCGTTATAGTCATCATCATCTTCATCATCAGCATCAGCATCAGCATCAGCATCATCATCAGCATCATCATCAGCAGGATCATCAGCATCAGCATCATCATCAGCATCATCATCAGCAGCATCATCATAATCATCATCGGCAGCATCATCATCCACCTCCTCCTCCACCTGCTCTTTCTCCTCCTGCTTTTCATCGTTAACATCTTTCTCCTCTTCCTCCTCATCCTCCTCTTCCTCCTCCTCCTCCACTTTCTCCTGCTCTCCCTCCTCCTCCTCCTTTTGCTCCTCCCTCCTTCTCCTCCATCTCGTCTTGCTCCTATTGCTCCTTCCTGTTCCATCCCTCCGTCCCTCCCTCCTCCTCCTCCTCCTCCTCATCATCATCAGCAGCAGCAGCTGCATCATCATCATCATCATCATCATCATCATCATCATCATCAGCATCATCATCATCATCCTCATCAGCAGCACCAGCACCAGCACCAGCATCATCATCATCATCATCATCATCATCATCATCATCATCATCAGCATCATCATCATCACCATCATCAGCATCAGCAGCATCATCATCATCATCAGCATCATCATCATCATCATCAGCACCATCATCATCAGCAGCATCATCAGAATCAGAATCATCATCATCATCAGCATCATCATCATCATCGTTATCGTCATCATCATCATCATCATCATCATCAACATCCTTATCATCATCACCATCACCATCACCATCACCATCACCATCTACCACCACCACCCTCTTCATCACCGCCACCACCACCACCATCCATCATCAATCATCGACCACCCATCATCAATATTAGATCCTCCATCGTCCATCCTCAACCATCATCTGAAGCAGCAACACCCGCATAAGTATCAGCATCAGCATCAGCACCAGCTTCACCATCATGAATCCTCAACCCTACACCATGAGTCCTCCAATTCTCGATCGTCCATCCTCCCTCGTCATACCTTCATCCTCATCATCATCATCACCACCGGCGTCATCATCATCATCATCATCATCATCATCATCATCATCAACAGCAGCATCAGCATCAGCGTCAGCATCATCATCATCATCATCAGCATCATCATCATCATCATCATCATCATCATCATCATCATCATCATCATCTCCACCATCGGCAACATCATCATCAGCAGCAGCATCATCAGCATCATCATCATCAGCAGCTTCAGCATCATCAGCATCATCAGCAGCATCATCATCAGCATCTGCAGCATCATCATGAGCATCAGAATCTTCATCATCCTTATCATCATCCTCACCCTCATCATCATTCGCGTCCTCTTCGTTATCACCAGCATCCTCATCATCATCATCATCATCATCATCATCAACTGCAGCAGCATCATCGTCATGGTCATCATCATCATGAGCATCAGCTTCAGCATCAGCACCATCATCGTTATCCATGATGCCATGAACATCATCATCGTCATCATCATCAGCATCATCAGCATCATCATCTGCACCATCATCACCTCCACCGCCATCACCATCAGCAGCACCATCAACATCATCACCATCATCGTCAGCGGCATCATCATCGCTGTCATCGTCGTCGGCATCATGATCGTCATTGTCGCCGTCATTGTCATCATCAGCAGCAGCATCACCATCGTCATCATCCCTGCCAATGGCAACTTCATCGTCAACATCATCATTCTCATCATCACCACCATCATCATCCTTACATCATCATCATCATCATCAGCAGCAGCATCATCAGCAACATCACCACCATGATCATCATCATCAGCAGCAGCAGCAGCATCCGTGTCGTCCTCCGCCTCCTCATCCTCATTCCTCCCTCCTCCCTCCTCCCTCCTCCTTCGCCTCCTCCTTCCTTCCCCCTCCTCCTCCTTCTCCTCCTCCTCATCTTCCTCCTCTTCCTCCTCCTCCGTCCTCCGTCCTCCGTCATCCTCAAATCCTTTTCGTTATAAACAACTCCTCCCTGTCGTACCCCAAGGCCAGTCGAAAGGGTGGGCCGGGCGTTTTATCTCAAACTTCCATACCACATATGACCCTGAAGCCTAGACATTAGCAACAGTTTCACAGGGCGGGCCGCTTCCAAAAAGTGGTTCTGGCTGCAGCGCCGCACATTCGTAGTAAACATGTGCAAGAGCTTCATGGATTGAGGGCTGGTCCAAAATATGGCTCTCGTTTCAAAGCCGCACACATTCGTTCTGAAAAAATGCAAGGGATTGACGGATTGATGGCGGGTGATTTTCAAAATGTAACTCGCCGCGCACATTCGTCGTAAATTGCTGCAAGAGCTTCACGGACTGAAGGCGGATAATCTTCGAAAGGTGGCTTTCGCCTGAGCACCGCAAGCATTCGTCGTAAAAACGTACAAGAGATTCACGGATTGAGGGCGGTTCCCTTTCAAAATGCGGCTCTCGCCATAGAGCCAGCGCACACTCATCTTGAAATGTTGCGAGATTTCCAAGGGTTCCCATGATCAACGTACCAGCAATTGTTTTTTGGAAAGACTACGGATTGTGAGGGCGCAACAAGTACGTTGATTCGCGGTGTTCTGGTATTCTGGCACGCTTCAGGGCCTTCAGACGGTTGTCTCCCAACGAGGCAGTTCCCCCAGTGGAAGCGAACCCTTATAGGCGCGTTTGAATGGGGAGCTTGGAGGGGGGGGTTATTCCAACATCGTTGATGAGTCTTGGGTGTACACTGGTCCTTCTCCCCCTCCCCCTTCTCCTACCCTCCTGCTCCTTACAGATAACTCCTCCCTGTCGTACCACAAGACGTATCCGTAGGCCAGGCTGGGCATTTCGCCTGAGACTTCCTCACCAAATGATCCTGAAGCTTGAAGTCTGCAACAGTTTCAAGGATGGAGCCCGAGTGGTTTTCAAAATGTGGCTCTCGCCTTGGCGCACACTCGTATTCCTAACTTGCAAAACATTTATATAAGGATGGACCTCGGGTGGTTTACAACATGAGACTCTCGCCTTGGCGCCGCACACACACGTCGTAACAAATTGCAACAGCTTCAAGGACGGAGCCCTGATGATGTTCAACATGTAGTTCTCGTCTTAGCGTCGCATTCGACTTCAAAACTTGCCACAGTTTCAAGAATGCAAGATGGCTCGTTTTCAAAATGAGGCTCTCGCCTCAGCGCCGCGCACATTCGTCTCCAAAACTTACACCAGCGTCAAAGGTGAAGGCCGGTTCCTTTTCGAAATGTAACTCGCGTAGCGCCGCGCACATCCATCCGACTCAACCCTCACTATCACATGCCGAATGCATGTTCGGTGTACACCAATACGACCCAAGTCCTGGGCAAACAAGGCAAAACAAAGCAGTGTCGATAGCAAACACTAAACTAACCTGCCGACCCTTCGGCGTGTGGCGAACGCTGTCGTCGTCGTCGTCGCAGGCACTGGGTCCTCCTCCTCCAGCGCGCCAGCGTCGTCGTCGTCGTCGTCGTCGTCGACGTCGTCGTCCCCCTTCTGGGTCGGCGGCACCAACCGCAATTCGGACGCCCGAGATGGGTACGGAAATGATGGGTACAATGCCCAACTACAATGTTGTCCCAAACCGACAGCGGCCGCTGTTGGGCAGGCGGCCCCCTGCCTCAGATGGACACAGGCCGCGGCGGCGTGGACCGCGGATCCTGCCCAAGATGAACAAGATCCGCTGTTGGGCATTGTACTCCAGATTTCGTAATAAAAGGGAGGGGGTCTCATTTCGGGGGGGGTCTCTTCCAGGCTATCTTGGAGGGCCTGGGGGGGTCTGGGGACGATGTTTTGGAGGGTTCTCCCACGGGGGGGGTCTGAAATGGCTTGTCTTGGAAAAAGATAGAATAGTAAATAAGAAAAAAAGAAAAAAAAAAAAAAAAAAAGGGTCCAGACCCCCTCCCTTTTATTACGAAATCTCGAGTACCCAGTCTTTCCGTGCCCATGTCGTTCGTGCAGCCGCAAGGCCTTCCCAATAATCTCTACGTCTCGGGCACCCGTCGCCGACCCCGGCGTGGGACCCCGGCGCTCCCCCGGCGGCCCCCCGTCGCCGCAGGAGGCCTCCGGGAGCAGACGATGGTGGGCCCGCTTTTCACCACCACCACCGCAAGTTGGAGGGGGG